TGCGACAAAAAAGCGCTTTTCTTGAGCTATCAATGCCTTAATTAGGACCTGATCTTGCAACTATTAATGTCTCAACCTATTATCAAAGAGAATAGATTAAAAAAGAGCGGTATTAACTCGAAAAAAAATGTAAAACCGCTTTTTTGTTGTACTGCTTTCATACTGCAGGTGTACTTCACACATTTGTCCTTTATAACCTTTTGGGTCCTAAAACATCTTTTATACAAAAAAGTTTTCTGAGTTAGATAAAAGGGTGTACAGAGACTGCTACCAGAGTTTAGTTCCCCTCTTCGAGAATATTAGTTCAGTTGAACATCTCCGATTTGGATCTTTTATCAATGATTTTGTTATTTGATGATTTTTTCGTCAAATTTTTTTTCGTTTATTTTTAATTGTGCATATGCTTATTCTATTGAATAAATTTTGGATTCAATTGAGCGTATAAATAAAGATCTTAAGTTTACGCACAAATATAATCTAATAAGAAAGGCATTATCTAGTGAGTATAGTAGCTGAACCACGTAGACTAAGTTTAATTACTTCTCTTCAACTTAAACCGTTTTTTAAGGGCACAGAGATGGAATTTAAAGAATTTGAGCGGCGGTTTAAATCCGCCAAAACCCGGTTTACACTAAGCGCCGGCTTAAATCTTGAAACATTTGATACAATTTTAAGTGGTACCAACCATATTTAAACCGCGGCTTAAATTTAAACCGCCGCTCAAATTCTTTAATTTCGGCCACAGGACATTTTTCTGGTTACTCAAACCAATAATAAAGACAGAGCACCAATTTGTCTAGTATTATGATAATCTACAAAGTTTGAGAACGATGAAAGACAAAGATAAAGAGAATGAAAGTTTCTATAAAGTTTATTTTATTACATCACGAAAAAGATGAAGAAAGTTTACCCTTTTCTAGTTTTATGTATTCACGTTGATGACGTGATATAGAACTAAAATTTACAGAAAGTTTTTCTAGTTTCTCAGAACAATGCTAAAGAAATTGAGCACCTTCTAATTTTATGTTGATCTACAAAGTTCTAGAACGTTTTTAATAGTTCCAAGAACGACAACATTTTTTTAAGTTACGTAAACGACAAAGTTATAGAGAACAATTTTTATACAGTGACAAAAAGGAAAATTTACATGAACATTTTTCTAGTTACATCATTTTTCTAATAATACAGTGATAACTAGAAAACTCTGGAATAGGAAGACGAGTTTTGGGTTCAAGGTTTGACTTAATTAGTGATTTAATAAGTTACAAGTTAAACTATTTGCTTTGTAACAACATCAAATTCACCTAAGTTTTGCTGTTTTAAGTCTTCTTCCTCTTTCATATAGTTTTCTGTAAAAAACTACAAAGTTAGAGAATGTTTTTAATGTTACAACAACGACAAAATTAGAGATTCGGCTTCATGAACAGAACACCTGATTGCTGAAAGGGACAGACCGGCTATATAAGGTAGTTAAACTGAGTATGCAGAGTTGTGGACAGATTCTTTAGATTTTATTTGAGACATTTAAACGTTTCCACGATGTATAATTACTGAGTTTGAGCGTGGGTACGTTTTCAGAATCGTTTTTTAAATATTAAATAACGACGACGAAAAATAAAGTAAAAAGGATAGAGAAATTATGAAAACAAAAATGTTTAACTACCTTGCCGGTCTGTCCCTTTAAGCGCAACAGCGCGGTGGTGGGGGGGGGGATAGAGAAATTATGAAAACAAAAGTGTACAGTGTCAAATTATCAAGTGGCAAGATAATTAACGGAAGAGATTACGCTGCTTTGTCTGTTTAGATCTATTCTTTAAGAGACTTTTTAATTATAAGAATGATAAATACAATAACTGAACGCAAATACAGGCAACATATCTATCTTAATAAATTGTAATGTGTGATAAGATAAAAATCTATTTTTTTAGTCTTGAGTCATTAATTTTGTCACTTTTTGAGGTTTTCAGATAAAAAAAATTGTTTAAATGTTGCCATTACTATCATTTGTCCCCCCTCCCCCCGTGAAATATTCCTAGCTAAGGGCCTGCTTCAACTATAAGGATGATAAATATAATAAATGATTATGAATAAGAAGAAGAAAAGAAAATTATATAAATGGAATTTTAAAATAAAGAAAACGTTTAAAATTAAGACTCATTAGGAAGAAAAGGTGAAATCAATGAAGATTTAAGAATTGTTTATATATAGTAAGTAAATAAGCAAAAGAATGAAAAAAGCTTATTAGAGCTGCCGTTGTCGTTTTAACTAAGTTTTCATTTTTAGAGGGGAATGCCTGAATCACAATGGTACCCTTTTATCTGATTAAAATTCTGAAATTGCTGGTTTTCTATAACTTGCACAAAGTCTTCAATTCTGACGATTTCTTCGATATCTTTTCATTATAAATGCATAAGTCAATTTTTGAATAGGATCCACTATTGAAAATTATATGTTTTTAAATAGAAAAGCGTAGATTTTTAATTCATTTATTAGGGTACCGTTGTGAATCGGACATATCACGCTATAAATGGAGGGTCACATTAGTTATAACTACGGTCCCTTTCTGAATTCAAAATATAAAAAATGATAAAGAATAAATTTAGGAAAATAGTAAGAATGGATCAGAGATAAATCAAGAAATTATGAATATTGGAAATTATTAGAAAAAGAGAAAAATGCAAATTATAATTTAAAACATGAAATATAGAAAATAGAGAATAAAAAGGAAAAAATATAATATTTAATAATTCATGTCTAAATTGTTCGTACATGTTCTCTGTGTACACAAACCAGTTTTATAAAAATATAAACAACATATTATTAAAATGTAAACACAATTAATCAACAGTTTACTACAGTCTTCCATCACAACCAGTCAAGAGATCATGTCATCTACTGTGAGNAATTCTCCTCTACAAGAGGATACTCACCCTGTTCCAAGGGTTCTAACTCTCCTCCACAAGAGGATAATCTCAACTCTAATGAGTTTAATAACCTGGAGAGAGCAGAAACCTGTTGTTCCAGTTCTAGTTGATCTGCACCACCAATATGAAGTTATACACTACCAATATGAAGTTGCTACTGATGTTCGTCAATTTATAATCCTTTGTTCAATTTCAATCAACCAATTTTAACTTCGCCATTTGTGCAAATATTTCAAAACAATATTATTTTTCTTAAATAAATGTTATAGACTATTTGGGTTTTTTCTGATTTCTTTATTTGTATATTTTCTGACCTTTTTTTAAAGGTCAACAATGTTGTATATTTAGAGATGATGGATATGGTTTTGTGTTATGTTGTATATTTAGATGCTGGATCTGAATCTCTGTGTTTTCATGTTGTATATTTTTAGATGCAGGATCTGGTTCTTTGTGTTCTCATGGTGGCTGTTGTTATCCAAGCTGCTGTGGTTGCTGAGGGGCCAGATGATATAGGTAAGATCTATTAACTCGGGTTTTCAGACATAAATTCTTGGGGAAAAAAGCCACAACTAAATAAACAAACTCTGCAAGATTTTTTCTACTTCACAAGATCACTATTCCCTTTTTAGTGGGTTTTTCAGATTTATTTATTTCTGTATTTAATAGTGCAGTACCATGCTTTTATTTATTTTAGGTGGTCCATCCGGCTGCTGTGACTGGCCTTCATGCTACGATGAGAGAGTGGGCCTTTGTTTGGATACCTGCCTCAGTACCTGGACCCAGTGTCCTCGCAGTCTCTTCCTTATGACCTGTTACAGGTAATCATTTAAGTACCTGGACCCATGCAGTGTCCTCTTAAGTTTCTCCCTCATGACCTGTTGCAGGTAAACTTTTAGTACGTGGACCCAGTGTCCTCGCAGCTTCTTCCTTATGACCTGTTTCAGGTAGACTAGCCTCCGTAATTGGACCTTGTGTCCTCGTAGCCTCTTCCTCATGACCTGTTACAGGTCCCAGTGTCCTTGTAGTTTCTTCCTAATTACCTGTTACAGGTAAACATTAGTTCCTGGACCCAATGTCCTTGCGGCCTCTTCCTTATGACCTATTACAGGTAGACAGCCTCCGTACTTGGACCCAGTGTCCTCTTAGTTTTTCCTAGTGACCTGTTACAGGTAAAATATCTTTGTACCTGGATCTTCTGCCAATTCGGCCCAGCCGTTTGTGCTTAGCTAATTTATATATTTATGAGCGAAGAGCTTTATTATATTATTTGTCTAGATATTAATAACCGTGTGTTTAGTAAATACATGTCTCCCTTCGGTGAACTTCCTCTTCAATGCTTCCCTGATGCTGCCCCACATCTAGAGGTTAATATTTTAGTAAACAGGGTGTCCCACATATAAGATCATTTAGAGCTCTAAATTGTGAATGCAGGCTCTAATCAGAAATTTAAAAACATTTTTTAAAATAAAATGTTAAATGTGAAACGACTGCTAAATTTTTTTTCGTTTTTCATCAGTTCATAGCGTAAAGCTTGGAGATAATCTTATTCAATCATGGGACGCCTTAAACCTCGAGGCTGATAATCAGAAATTTTATTATAAAACTTTTAAACGTTGTTGGAATGTGTGCCAATTGCAATACTTAAAATAAGATTTTGATCGCACGACTTTTACGAATTGTTGAACAGGCCCTCTAAAATATTTGGGTTAATACTTTGTCCTTATATATTCATGTTGTAAGGCTTCAATTTTCCCTTACTCTGACTATCTACCGGATTCAAGAGTTGGTTCAAATTTATTTCTGAAATTAATCAAGGAAAGTGACGCGGTTTTTCAGGATTTGAACCGGCGTGGAGTGATAGTTAAGCGGTATCTCCAAAAAATGAGTTGTTGTATTTAGGTAGCTGAGGAGCTTGGATTGACCGGAACCCCTCAGAAGATTCGTGAAGAACTACATAAGTTTAACGGGAAGAGTTGTCATGTCAAAACTGGAATTTGTCGTCCCACAGCTTCATAGTACTCGCAGATCATAGAGTTTTATTATGATTGTTTTACATTTTTTACAACTGGAAATATAATGTTAATTTTACCTATAACAAGATTTCTTGGTTGTGGTTGTGCCATTGAACTGATAAATACAGCGTCAGCATTGAAAGATGACTTCAAAAGTCGTCTTGGATCTTTGAAAATATTTTAATTGGAAGGTTGTAATAACAAACTCGCCTGCATTTCTCTTGAATCAATTTGATCTGGTTTGCATTTAAGAATTATTTTCACATAAGTTTTATGTATAAATCCTTAATTCTTGTGAGCGACCTCTTTACTTTGAATCCTTGTTCTTTAATCCCTCGAGCTCCTCTAGCACAGCAAAATCTCTTTGGTTATCGTTGCAAAGCAATTTTTAATAATTCAGGACAGAATAGATTCGATATAAATACTGCGTGCTTGAAAGAAATTGCATTGCAATATTTAGAATTGGGTTGAATTTAATGTAAAGCACATTGTTTTTATTGCAAATGCGATTGTAGATCTGACATTCTTGCGTGAACATATATTCATGCTTAGCTTGTTCAAAATTTAGCATTCTCAGAGTAGAACCCTTCTGGGAAAGTATTCTTGCATAAAACTAAGAAAATAAATCAAACATAGTTTTCTCCTTAACAGTTTCACAGTTTCACAAGAGATTTATAAGTTACGGAGTTTATTGATCATGAATCTTATCTGATTTTAGAAGAATTTGACTATGAAGCCAAACTCTCGAAAAATTAAAATACTGTCGCCAGAGTGGTCGGTTGTATACATCACGATATGTTTACGTACGTATCTCACTGTACACTTTTATATAGAGTGATCGTATTTCTAAGGGTTAGTTTTAAGTAGATATATTTGAATATTAGTATTGATAATTAGATAAATCATCGAGGGAGGGAAGCCCTGACGTCATGAGTATCTGACATGCTAACACGAGCCTTCCAGATCTCCTAGGCAAAGCGAGCCACCATCATGCAGTAAGAGCCTACGCTATACAGCTCAGTTTCATTATAACTCTTGGCTTTTACATGTAATATAAAAGTTTTCAGTTTTTTACACAAGTTCAAGAATTTTACTCTAGATTAATGTTGCTATTTGATTGAGGCTGTTTGGAAATTTATCTTAATTGATCTAGTTTATTTTGCTTTAATATTTGAATTATGCAATACTTTTTTAGGAAAAACTATTTAGATTTAGATTACTGTCAAAATTTTGATTGTCTTAATCTGATAATAATTTCGAAAGGTATCGCTTAAATCAAAGCTTATAAAATATCAAATAAAATAACTTTCAGAATTTTTTCTCATTGTTTTCCTTTCTGCATGAAAAAAGATTTATAAACCAATTATAATAATTGATCTTTGATAAACTTTTTATGCCACTTTGTTGAAAAAAAAACAAGAAACAAATTATACATTTCATTTAAAAACCATGAGTTAAAGGAAGCTGTGCTGTATAGCGGAGGCTCGTTAATTGCAAAGCGGAGGCTCCAGAGCCCAAAACTTAAGAAAGTATATCGTTATGAAAACCAGTTTTGAAACCCGGGTTTCACGAATGGGGTAAGGCAGTTTTGTGAATTTCAATATTTTTGTTATGAAATATTATTATATTTAGTTTTTTTCATATTCTCCATTTTTTTCGAATCTCTTAAATCAAAATCTACACAAATGTTAAGACCCCAAGAAGGAAACTCGGGAGTTTCGTTCAATGATACTCTTTTAAATTTCGGGCTCCAGGGAGTAAGGAATAGAAGGAAGATAACTGACGCGGTTCGTCCTACCATAGGATTATACATGCTTCATTTGAATAAGAAATATTTGTCTGATGTACAATTACCGCGTATACAATAACCTATTCTGAATATTTCATATACAAATGGAGTACCCGTCTGCAAAGCATGTGTAATCATATGTTAGGGAGAACCGTGTCAGTTATATCTCCCTTCTATTCCTTACTCCCTGGGAGGCTCTTACTGCATGGCGGAGGCTCAGTCTGCCTAGCAAATCTAGGAGGCTCGTGTCAGCACAGCGGAGGCTTATGGCATCCGATGGGTTCCTTCCCTCGTCCTACGTGGATAGTCTTCATATTATCATATATATTCAGAGCTACAAAATACTTTAGGATTGGTGCCTTAAAGAGAGTGTTTGCGAAAAATAAAAGGGGGTATAGGCTTAATGCGACAAAAAAGCGCTTTTGATCGCTACTAATCTTACTACAATTCACCATTATTTTGTCCGATCACACTTTTTTTCGTCTGGAATTGTTTTCATTCTATTTTAAAGTACTTTACATTATCTTATTCGAATTTTGAGCTACGTCATGTTGTAAATTCTTGATTGAAATATTTTTTTTTCTGTTTTTTTTAAGAAGAACATTTTATGAGGTAAAAAAGGCAAAAAACAATTTATGAACATTTTTATTTAACAATACCTCGAGCAAATCCAAAACACTTGCTTTGCTCCTTACCAAAATCATGTTAATTTTTAGTTGTAGATTCTAAAAATCCCAGCGATTCACCTAAAAGTTGCAGTTTAGGAGTAAAATAAGAAAATAAGAGGAAGTGTGTGGTCCGTACGAAATATAGACGTGGTCTGGACAAAAAATAGATATTTTCCGTTTTGTGCTAAATTGTGCTCAAATATCGGGGTTTTTTTTCAAACAAAATGTATTCCATTTTAAACAAAATCAAATCATTGAATAACATGACGTTGCCTAAATTTGAAGAAAAAATGTGTTATATGATATAATACATCTAAAACACAGAAGCAACCACCCGGAAGAAGGTAGGAAGAAATAATTGAGAATTGTGACATTATTTATGGTGCGGACGCAAAAATTATGTGGTAAGCCACGCCTCTCATGGTTGATAAATAGAAAATTAAGAGCAATATGATTATTGTCTCCTTTCCATCAAGGATAGATATTGTAATTTGTAATTGTTAAAAGGAGAAAGAATATGAAAATTATAAATTATAAACTATTCCTCATATCGTTTTATTTTTAAAAAGTTATAAAAAATAGATTATAAAAACATTGTTAAAAAATGGTAAAAATTTATAAATTTTTAAAATTTTTAAAATTGAATCTTTTACAAATTAAAAATTCTTGGAATTCACGAGAATAAATGAATACAAGAAATTTTCTGTTTTGCAATTTTAAACAATTAGTTAGCATTGATGATTCATAAGATGTAAACGCTTGTATGCCTGGAATCATTATTAAATCTAATGTATGCATTTATTTGATTATCTCAATATATTTACTAGGTCTAGGGATCTTAATGGTTTATGCTTAATGGATATTCTCAATATGGATGGTTCAAGTTTAGGACTTGAGAAATCTAAAAAGGTTCCTATCACTAAATATCAATGCTTTTTGGGTTGGGTTTTTAGCGGAAGCAAATTTTCTTGCAAAAATGAACAAATATGCTTGCGACTTCCGAAAATCTTTTCGCGGAATTCCGCATTAATGCGCAAAAATTGATTTTAAGGAAGCTAGCGCCAATTGTGCGCAATTCCGAGCATTGCACCGCGCAAGATTTGTGCTGAATTTTAGTCAAATTCAATTCGAGCAAAAAGAAAAAAGAAAAAGGAAAACAAACTTACTGAAAGTGTTTTTTATTTCGCAAAATTGCAGAATTTGCACGGAATTTTTCCTGCGTAAAGAAGGGCAAAAAAGCGAAATTTGCGAGAAACCTTTTTTCTTATTTCGCTGAAAACACGGTTTTCAGAATAAAACAACAATAAGCCGATTTCTCGAAACTATAGATTAGTTAACTTTGTCATCTTCATAACAACGAAACAGTATATACTAGGTCTATAATGCTCATCAAAGGCCTGCATATACCAGCCTAGGAAAGGCAAGGCAACTTGGGTTTCCAATTTTTTTTTGGCGAACTTTTGCGCATCTTTTACGCATGAAGCGTAATAAGTTTAGCGCATTTGTGCAAAATTTTTTTGAGATAGACAACTCTGAAACTTGGCCATCACTTAAATATAGACAACTCAGAAACTTTATCCTCACTGAGATAAAGACAACTCAGAAACTTTATCCTCACTGAGATATAGACAACTCAGAAACTTGGTCATCACGTAGATATAGACAACTCAGAAACATTATCCTCACTGAGATCTAGACAACTCAGAAACTTGGTCATCACTGAGATATAGATAACTAAGAAACTTGGTCATCACTGAGATATAGACAATTCAGAAACTTGGTCATCACTGAGATATAGACAACTAAGAAAATTTATCCTCACTGAGATAAAGACAACTCAGAAACTTTATCCTCACTGAGATAAAGACAACTAAGAAACTTGGTCATCACGGAGATAAAGACAACTCAGAAACTTTATCCTCACTGAGATCTAGACAACTCAGAAACTTGGTCATCACTGAGATATAGATAACTCAGAAANATCCGGATCCAGGAAGCCAAAATCTTATTGATCAAACTGATCCGGATCCTGAGCATTGAATATAAACAAGGAGAGGGATGTCTACATTTTACTATGACGTATTAGATCAGGAACTAATTTTATTGTAAACAATAGTAAAGCTTAACATTTCTTTTGGGCCTGTACGGTCACGGTTGCATTGTTAAAAATATAGTTAGATCTCTCTTTATACAGTGATCGGCGATTATAACAATACAATAAAGACGACTTTTTACTAATCATGCGTTGATCCCTAACAAACATTTTTCAAATTACAAGTTTACAAGTACACAAAGAGAAGCTTTTAATTGACAACTTCGCGTTGTTTAAACGTTTAAGTGTTTCTGCTGTTTGAAAGCTTGGTAGAAATGAAAATTAAAATAGAGTCCCGAGCAGAAGAGGTAACTGGCTCCCCACCGTTCAGTGCAACCATACAATCCTATACAGGTAACCATGCCAATAAATATCTATAAACATTTAGGAGATTCAAGTTATAAAGATTTTGGCTTGAATTCTGGGTAATCCTTGAGATAAGTATCATCTAATCTATTCAAACCATCTTCATACCAATGAAAAAGCGCACCTTGAGCTAAAGTTTACATCATATTGAAATTTGTGCGGTCCCAACAGAACTTAAGTCGCGTGTTTCCCTTTCTTCAGAGTGGTTTACTCAACTTAAAACCAGTATCAGTCGCTTAGTTTCTAGCATCCGTCGTATTTGGAGACAATCCTGTTTAAGGAAGTTTCTATAATTACTGTTTCGTGTTTTATCGTTTTTTGAAGATTTGAGAGTACTGAGAGATGAGATAACACTACACTTCGTGAACACATGCTGGAGATTTCAATGCTATGACCTGGAAAAGATAGATAGATAGATAGATAGATAGATAGATAGATAGATAGATAGATAGATAGATAGATAGATAGATAGATAGATAGATAGATAGATAGATTGATTGATAGATAGATAGATAGATTTACATTTATTTAAGTGAAAAATACTGAAGTTTAAATAATATAAATCACAGCCCGCAGGAAATACATACAGTGATAACCAGAAAACTCTGGAAAATGAACACGACTTCTAAACATAATTTATGACTTTAAATAGTGCAATGAACATGACGTGACACACCACTATTGTGCGGTGTAATATTGCTCAATTGACTTACTAAGTGATTTAATAAGTTACCAGAAAAACTATTTGCTTTGTAACCACATCAAATAAAATTTATTATTGCTTTAATGTCGTCTTTATATTCTGCAGTTTTCTGGTTATCACTGTATAATAAACTTTACAACAATGTTTACATACAGTTGGTTATTTTCTCAACAATTTGTACAGATTTAAACAGAAAAAATATCCATTTTCCATTTTTATGTTTGGAGCTATAACTGTTTGAACATTAAACAGGTTTTTGGTAGGATCGAAAAAGAATGTTCATTAGTTGATTGTGTATTTGTATCTTTTGTACTCCTTTTTATTCTTCAAAAACGGGATCTGAACTTTGGAGAAATATTTTCGTTTCTTATGTCCTCTCTTCTCCTTTTTCCTCTTGTTACACCTCCTTCCCCTGAACCCTTGTGGGCAGGAGCACCTAGGTTTTGAGCTCCTTAAGGAGCAGGTTCCCCCGTGCTTACAGGAGAACCTGGAGCACGCCAGCTCAGAGCACTCACTGCAAACCAAGCACAAACTTTATTATTTAAAATAAAAATTCAGTGATGATGGTTTAAAGGAATTGAGTCTTTGCCACAAACTTGGATTTTTAAATCCCAATTTCTTTAAAACCAAATGTCGTAGACGGTAGATATTTCAAACTATGAATTCTGGTGGATCAAACAATGTAAGTTTGAAATATGAAAGGTATGCATCATCATCTGGTTGTTGAGATTTAGATATTATAAAATTGGGATTTTTGGCAAAAACTAAATTCTTTTTGCAAAAAAATCATTCAAATTTGTTATGTCAATCAGTATAGGAATCAGTATAGGAATCAGTATAGGAATGATAAAAAATTAGGGGGAAAAAAGAATTTTTGGAATTTTGTTTCTTTTCTTGAGTTTAAAGTGCAAGGTTTTCCTAATATTGTGAGATGAAAGAAGTAGCGGCTCAGAGTCTGAAACTAAACTTATCCCTCTCCCCCTCGTTCCAACCTCACGTATACAGCCCTACATATATTTATATTACTATGTGAAGAGCTCAGCGATGCCCGTGGAATAAAAAAATCGAATTTTGAAAGAAAAAAATTATGAAGAAAAAAATTTCAGCCCATTCAGTCCAGCCGTTAAGTCAGTTATAGCTGACATATATAAATATACAGTGCAAAATATATATATATATGGGCGAAGAGCTTAAGTATATAGATATATATTTAGTTTGAATTAAATTGAATTAAAGAATTATGTAGAAACTGTAGAATAGGGGTACATTACCGCACCTCAACCCCGTGAGGTTAAAAAAGCAAATTCCTTTCATATACGAGGGGGATGGGCCGGGGNTATCACTATTTCTATCCCACCAAGTACAATATTATTTAATACCTGAAAATTCTCTGTAGTTCCAACCATACCGAATATCCCGGAAAAGTTAGAAGCTGGAATACCTAAGAATAGCATTTACATTAGATTTATAAATTATATTTTTAGTTAAACCATTTTTAAAACGTAAAACTGTTAGACCCTCTGAAAAAAAACATTCTAAACCAGGACACTTGGTGACTAGTTTAAAATGTCTCTTCCTATTAGGTAAGTATGTTTGATACCAAAGAGAATAATGAAAAATAGAATATTACAGTCATGTTATAGTAAAATTGTTTTTAAGGTAAAGTATAGTTGAGTAAAACTTTTCACCAACTGTATACCATACAATATTAGCTCCGATACCCAGTTTTTCCTCAGATACCATATGTTACTTTGATACCTAGCAATAACTCCAATAACCACTAATCAGCATTACCTCCAATACCCAGTATTACCTCCTTACCCAGTATCACCTCCGACACCCAGCATTACCTCCGACACCCAATATTAACTCCGATACCCAGTATTACCTCCGACACCCAACATTACCTCCGACACCCAGCATTACCTCCGACACGCAATATTACCTCGGTTTTGCAGTCTTACCTTTGTTACCCAGCCTTACCTCACATTCCCAGCATTACCGCCGATGCCCAGTATTACCTACGATACCCAGTATTACCGCCGATGCCCAGTATTACTTCCGATACCCAGTATTACCTCCGATACCCAGTATTACCTCCGATACCCAGTATCACTTCCGATACCCAAAATTACCTCCGATACCCAGTATTACTTCCGATACCCAGTATTACCTCATACCCAGTGTCACCTCCGATACCCAGTATTACCTCCGATACCCAGTATTACCTCCGATACCCAGTATTACCTCCGATAAACGCATAGCTGCGTAAGTTTAATGATTTGTTTCTGCCCCGAGCAGAAGAGGTAACTGGCTCCCCACCGTTCAGTGCAACCATACAATCCTATACAGGTAACCATGCCAATAAATTCATGCTTAATAATTCCATTTAGATCAAAAATGTGCAAACATAACTTTGACAAAACAAAGGTTGAATTGGCTACTTATGTAAAAAAGTTAAACAAGTTTAAGTCCTTCAGGAAAAACTATGCTCAATAAATTGTTAATAAAAGAGAAATATAAAGGACTTTGAAGAAGTTTTTTAACTTTAATAATTTGTTTTAATGAAGTTTTACAATATTTTTAAATATTAATATGATATCAGATGAAAATATTTAGAGATTTCTATATTTCTTGTTCTTCATTTTCTTCTTTTTTTTTAACTTTAATAATTTATTTTAATTAAGTTTTACAATATTTTTAAATATCAGATAAAAATATTTAGAGATTTCTTATATTTCTTGTTCTTCATTTTCTTCTTGTTCGTACATCTTCATGCTTTCTATATATGAGGATGTTTATCTGTTTTTTTTACTGAATAATAAATTGAATAGCTTTATATGCTGCATATAAATGTAAATAGCCTTAGTTTAATGTACTTCATATAAATGTAAACAACCCTAGCTGTATGTACTGCATAAAAACATAAACAACCCTAGTTTTATGTACTGCATATAAATGAAAAAAGCCCTAGTTTAATGTACTTCATACTAATGTAAACTAACCTAGCTTTGTGTACTGCATATGAATATTAACAACCCTAGCTTAATGTACTGCATATAAACATAAACAACCCTAGTTTTATGTACTGCATATAAATGTAAACAACCTGAGTTTAATGTACTTTATATAAATTTAAACTAACCTAGCTTTATGTACTGCATATAAATGGAAACAGCCCTTCCTTTATGTACTGCATATAAATATTAACAACCCTAGCTTTATGTACTGCATATAAATGTAAACAAACCTCGCTGTATGTACTGAATATAAATGTAAACAAACCTAGCTGTATGTACTGCAAAGTATGTTAACAAACCTCGCTTTATGTACTGCATAAGAATGTAAACAATTCCCTTGTTTTATGTGTGCTGCAAACATAGAGAATAGAATATATATTAGAGGGGAATTTAGAAATCTCTCGGTATGAATTTTTTCAGTCCCTTTCAGCCTGAAAGGGAGTTCAAAGTGTACAAATCATGTAAATGTTCACAAATTATATGCAGTAGAGTACATTAATACAGTATGTTCCCTAGACTATTCATTTCAATTTTGAATTTTTTAAACTGTTAAATAAACTTTATAATGAATTAGGTGAATAAAAAACATCATTTGATTTATAGTTATAACGGAAAATAATCGTTTGTAAAGTGGAAGGCATAGAGTCTATGTGAAATGATCATTGGTCAATTATGAAACCAGCCTATTTCATAATTTGGTTTTCGTTTAACAATAATTTTAGATTTTCTATAAAATGATATCCCATGGCCCAAAAGGTTATATAGCATAAATATGTGAAGTACAACTGCAGTATGGAAACAGTAAAACAAAATAATTCCCCTCTAATATATATTCTATTCTCTATGGCTGCAAAAGAAGGTATAGAACCCTAGTTTTATGAAATGTATGTATATCAATTTTAACACCTGTAGATTTAAATACTGCAAACAAAAATACTCTTGTTATGATGCACCAAATAACAGTTTTATAGTGCACTGAAAAAAACAAATTTGACTAGGCCTACCTGTCTATATCGTTTGACCGCTAGTTTATTCCAGGCTCCCAGGTTAACCGGCGTACTAGAGGTCAAGGTGACCGGTCCTGATCCAAGGTCGTATTTGACCTCCACGTGACCTTTCTTCAGGTAGATTGAGAAGAAGTCGCCTTTTCCATTCTGATTCTGCCTAGAAACAAATTACGATTAAAAATAGAAGAGAAAAGTTAAATTTCAATAAAGGCATTTCAATGTTTTTTAATGGTTTAATAGTTAAAATAGTTTTAATCCACACCAGAAACTAAAACATTGCTAAGGCCTGTTGATCTTTGATGATGTTTCATTTATATTATTATTTATTAATAAAATGACTCTCTACGTCATTTATGAAACGATAGTTATCTTTACAATATTTACTTTGTTTAAATCTGAAAACTAATTTCATTTCTAATTTCTATGCCTATTTCCAAACTTTCTTCTATCGAGATTGAAAGGTGAAGATAGAAAAAATATTGGACTACTAAGGGACTGTTTATCAATTTTTAAGGAGTAAACCGAAAGAACCAAGACTTATTAAATAAGAATTTTGAAACTAAAGTTTTATATACAGTTATCGGTGACTATGTCAATACATTAAAGACTACTTTTTATTGATAATGCTTTGATTTACAAGTAACCAAAGAGAAGCTTTTAATTGACAACTTCGCGTTGTTTAAACGTTTAAGTGTTTCTGCTGTTTGAAAGCTTGGTAGAAATGAAAATTAAAATAGAGTGTAGTTTTTAGTGAACTGGTATATACGACAAGGGATTTACAAAACAGGAAAAAAGCATGGTTTCTTCGACGGCAAAGCTTGGAAAATCTTATTTATATAAGAAATGCATTTGAAGCTTCCTTTCGAATTCTAGAACATTCCCGTTGAAGTAAAAAAAATAGTTTACCGAGCTATAAGGAGAATACCATCAGGAGAATATGGTTTAATTTCCAGATCTAGTGTTGTACTCGTTACAGAGCTAGGGAGGTATCTTAGGGTCACATAGCTAGCACCTTAATAATCAATGGATAGCTTAGATAAAAAAACATAATAAAAATGTGCTGTTCTTTATAAAGCGGAATTTATTAATAATTGATTGAAAACTTGACAGTCGTCTTTAACTGAATGGAGAAGCAGAGATTAGAGATAAGTAGGGTTTCTATGCGCAAAAAGTTTTTATTCAATTTCAGAAAAGTTTGTCAATATTTTGTCAAAAATTAACTTGAATAAAAATTAAAATTTAATTATTTGTTATTTTTTACAAACTAGTCTTTAAGACAATGAACAAATATTGCTATACTTGCGGTAAGTTAGCGCAACGATCTGCAAAGTAATATTATTCTGATAACGGGACTGAAAAATATTTTGTGTCCTATTAATCCGATTTTTGTTGTTGCATGGAACAATATGAATTTTGAATTTGTACAGGGTAAATAAGCCAGCTATTTTTACACAATTGCGAATAAAAACCCTCCTGGGAAGACTGTCAAAAAGTAAATAAATGTTATTTGTTTTTACCTGAAAATCCGGCCTCTTGAACTTGTTTAGCCTTCTCACAGTATTTACCACTTCGATCTGAACTGAAAAAAAAATGTTTTCCTTTTTCAGAATATTTTTTGCAGTACAGTACATACCTGCAGTAGCATGTAAATGTTCCATCATGTTCCTCACATGTACCCCCTGCCTCACACGGTGTGTACATACAGGGCCCGGGGTACATAATTTTGCATGAGTAAGGAGACTCCTGTACATATCCTCCCTTACATTCACACACTGAATTATTTAATAGGTCAGGGTTTATCTATTAAAGGAAAAGTTTTATCATGTTTTACTAGCACGTGTTTTGACAGCTCATGAACATTAAAGTTTTCCGTAGGATTTCCAGCGAACGGAAACTTTTGCGAAAAAATTTTCGTTCGTATTTCGCGAACTTTTTTGCAAAGCTTCACAATTTTTCGCGAAAATTGCAGTCGCGAAAGTGTTGTAGCTGCAACAATTAATTCTCTGCTCTGAGAGCTCAGCATAAGAGGTTTTGTTGGCAACCCTGTAGCTACCATAGGCACAGGGCATGCCAACCGTAATTATTTTTTCTGGCTACTTTGCTTTTTTTTTAGCATATCATCATATACAGCAATTCTTTCAGTGGTGGTCCAGTTCCCGATACTTATGATTCTACTTTTAAAAACTGATATTTTTTTAAAACCTGTTTTTTTTGATTCTTAGAAAATGTAGCAAAGGAAGCCTTGTGCTAATTGTGAAGTGTATACTACAAAACTATTTTCTGATTGAAGATATTTTAACTTTTGGTAAATGAGAATATTAAATTCTGGTCTTTATCATGATTTTTGTAAAAGAATAACGTTTTCACAAAAAAAAAATTATTAGAGATGGACTTGTAAAACTTTACTGAAGGAAGATGACAGTTAGACTGAATTAGTAGAACTTTTTCTTCTATAACAGCATGTAAAACAGAAATAATACATATATACAGCAGGGTTTCCAGTCGTAATTACGTTACTTTCTTTCACTTCCGCAGGAGCATTTCGCGTAATTACGCGTTTATTACGCTTACGAAAGAAAGTCTAGTTTCGCTTAATTAATGAGTAATTAAGCGAAATTACGTAAAACGAAACAATTCTGTAATAAATAAAGTACATATTAAACATATTTTGACTATTTTATGAACATTTTTTTTCAAACAAGGAAGATAAACTTAAGAAAGTAGGTTGAAATATTAACAAGTCGTCGAAAATTGAAAATTTATAGATAATGTATTTTTTTTTGATAAAAATAAATTGTTGGCCCTTTGTTAAACTTTTTAGTTGTCGAACGTGAAAATTAAATCAGCATAGTATTGGCTGAAATTTCTGATTCAACTTGCGTGACATTATTTTCCGTGTAAGTTAGTTGTTTTATTTAAATTAAAGTTAAAACTTCAAAATTTCATGTATGTAATTATTGGAAAGTTTCGCAAAATTACTTTGTAGAAATTACGCGAAATTACGGCGTAATTTCGCGAAATTGAAGTTTCACTAATTATGTGTAATTAATACAAAATTTCGCGAAATTACCTCGTAGAAATTACGCGAAATTACGCCGTAATTACGCGTAATTATAGTTTTGCTTATTACTCGTAATCATTACGAAATTTCGCGTAATTACGTTGTAGAAATTACGCGAAATTACGCCGTAATTACGCGTAATTATAGTTTCGCTTATTACGCATAAGCATTACGAAATTTCGCGAAATTACGTTGTAGAAATTACGCGAAATTACGCCGTAATTTCGCGAAATGGATATTTCCCCAATTACGCGTAATCCTGCGAAATTACACGAAATGAAAATTATTACGCGTAACTGCACGCAATTACGCGTAAGAGAATAATCTATTACGTTGGAAACCCTAATATACAGTGATCGGCTATATTATCAATACAATGATGACGACTTTTGTATTTAAGTTTTGATGGTTAACAAGTTTTTTCTAATTTAAAATTTGCAAGGAATTAAGCTTTTCTAATTGCCATCTTGGCTTTATTTTCATGTTATGTGTATCCAATTTTTAAAATATATAAATCGAAAGTCGTCTTCATTGGATTGGTATATTCGACGACAATTGTATGAAAAAAATAAAATATGAACCTGATGAGATACATGTTGAATCTCTAGCTGAACAATCACTATCCCGATTACATAAATTACCTGGAATTAAATATTTAATAATTAACCCAGAGATATGGAACTCTTATTGTATTGTGGAAATTGAGATCAATGCTTGATCTCGACATTTTATAATTTTTATTAGATGGTATGATCGTTTCCCGAAGAATTGACTGAAGTGAAGAGATTAAGCGTTGATCCTCCAATTGATAGTACCCACAGTGGATAACGAGATTAAGCAATCGGGATTATGAGTATCAAACACAAAATTTCAAAGCTTAGGTGTAATTTTTTCATTTTCTCAATACTGAAAACTCATACTTCTAGGGGTCAAAGTGTACTTCAATGATAAGCGGGGTGGTTTGGTGTTTTAATGGATTTCATAATACAGTGTAAAATAACTCCGGGAATGGAACTATTTGAACAACAATATTTCACTGAGCAATAAATCAATATATCATATTGATGAGAACTGAAGAAGGACATGAGAAGGACTAAACTAACTTAAATTTCTCTCTACAGAACTCATGTACACCACAAGTACTCAATGACATAATAACAGCCAATGTTCACAACCGACCTAGTTAATCTATATAATAGGAATATCTTTAAAACATCTCTGTACATTTATATCTTTTAAGATGAAAAATGTCGTCTTATGCACAATCTATCTTTATCTATGGTAACCATGCAACGTCTAAAGAATTAAATAAGCATTAATATCCGTTTAATTACCTAGAGTTCCAAATACAGATATCGCATTTCGAGTGCGGTCTGACATATATCCGTCATTCATTTCAACACTGTGGCTGAAAGGCATCATTGCCTTCCCTTCCTCGCTCTCTCCGCGTCTGTTGCTACGCCCTCTCCCCCTCAAAGCAACCCCTTTCTCTATATTTGGTTGAAAGAGGTTCCCGTCCCTATGTTGCCCCGCCTCCCTGGATTCTCTGCACGACAGCTCATTACTGCCTCCCTAACAAACAACAAGAGAATACAGTGAGAACCAGAAAACTCTGGAATAGAAAGACAATTAAAGCAATTATCAAGTGTGATTAATGCTGTTTCACTAGTAACTAGTTTCACTAGTAACTTATTAAATTACTTATTGAGTGAAATGGGTTTGTTTGCACTGAACAATTGCTCATGGTTCATGTTCATTGGACCATTTAAAATCATACTTCGAGTCCTGTTCCAGAGCTTTGGTTATCACTGTAGGAAAATTTATAAAAATGGTATTTATGTTTTAGATAATGTTGTAACAGTACAATTTGTTATGTGATGCCTTTTCTTAAAGGTTTACCGACACATTAGTTCACAATCTCTTTCAGAATCGTATCTTGAATTGCTGTTAAGATTTTGCGACCTTAATGCTTCTTGTATTTTCATTTTGCAATCAAAAATTAAATGATAAAAAAATTTCGGTTACATAAAAAGATTTTAAACTTATTTATCTTGTCAATAGCTTTTATGTAAGTTTGAAAACATACAATATTTAAATTAAATTGAAAACTTTAGTTTGATGTGTGTTGTGTAGTATTGGTTTACATTATTAACAAGTATTATACCTGGCAAACCTGGCATGTATGGCCGGCATACCCAGGTAGACACCGACACTGACCGGTCAACCGGTCACATACTGAACCTTCAGATCCGTACTTAGAGCATAGACAGGGCCTGTAGATTATACTCATTATTATCATTCTAACCATCATCATAATTATCATATATCATTGTTATTGGTGTTACTATTGTCATTATTTTTTTATTATCATTATTATTATTAATATTATTGATAATATTATTATTACTATTGTCATTATTATCATTACCATTATTATTATTATTATTTATTATTATTATTATTATTATTATTATTATTATTGTTATTATAATTATTATT